AGTCCCATGATCCTTTAAGCAGGGTCGTGCTTGAGGCCCCAAGTGCTCGGCGCGTTAAAGCCCTGAAGGGCTCGAAGATTTTCAAAAATATGGCTTGAAAAATTAGTAAAGCTCAGACTCAGAATGTCAATATTAGGATTGGTATTTTTGAAATTCATAATGTTACTAATATTGCTGCAAAACCTGAACCCCTAAGCCCCTGAACCCTAAGCCGCTAAACCTGCAATGCCCTACGGGCCCCGGCAAGAGCACGCCCGTCTTGCGCGGGATCGCTTTACGATGAACGTCTCACCTGTCCGCCTCCTCGTTTGAGGAATCCGTGCGGAGGATCAAAGAGGTGGAGTGGGTCTTTCTCACTTTTGGGTTTTAGGGTATAGGCTAGGGTTCTCACTTATCTTACTTTTGGGTTTTAGGGTATATAGGGTATAGGGCTCTGGGTTGAGTGCTTTGGCTTCATGGGGTTTTGGGTCTGGGTTGAGGGTTCGGGCTTTGCTGGAAGTAGTCCCGTCCAGTGCTAGAGAAGTCCTTCGAGTCAAGGAGCGACCATACGTACGAGAAAGAAGCTCACTCTAAAGCGGAAGACTAGGCGCCCCGAGGGTGTCATGAGGTTCGGGGCACTGGAACGTGTAGGATTTGCAGGGTTTGCGGCTTTGAGGCACAACGACCACAAACATAAGGATCTCCCCAAAGTCGCAGCCCTAAAGCCTTACAAACCATCGACCACCACACCCCTAAAAACCCAGAAGACACAGCTAGCCCTAGCCTGTTCGATATGATATCTGCGCCCTGGACCCGAGTTTAGGGTTTAGGGTTTAGGGTTTAGGGTTTAGGGTTATGGTTTAGTTCCGGTCCCCGTAGTATCCGGCCTAGGAACCGATCACAACCCCTACGAGCTCTCTGCGCCCTTTCGGAAGCCACGGACTCCAATACCCCCTTAATTAAGGAATATACCTTAAGTTATAGTAGGGATCCCTTAGTAGGATTTAAGGTATATTCCTTAAATTAAGGAATATGCCTTAAATTATAGTAGGGTCCCTAAGATGATTTAAGGTATATTCCTTAATATAAGGGGTATTGGAGTCTCTGGGGAAGCCATGGACGGACTCCCAGTGCTTCGAGCCGCTGCGGCTGTGTCGTCCTTGAGCGCCTGCCCGGAGAGCGAGGGCTTCAAGAACGGGGAGATGTTACAGGGTTTAGGGTTTAGGGTCCCTAAACCCTAAACCCTGTGCAAGCTCTGTTGAGCGAGCTTTCTGACCTCGTGCGTGAGAAAGGGGGCTAGTGCATTAAAAAAACCCTAAACCCTAATTGGATCAAGGGTTGGGAGCTTTGAGGGCTTAGAGGTTTAGGGGTTCGCCTTTAGGAGTTTAGAGTTTAGAGCGATGTGCTCTGAAATGTGATGCGACGTGTATCATGATGTTGGGCGGAAGCAAGGGTTCTTAATTGCAGCGTTTTGCTCTTTAGGAACATCAGTGCTGAGGAAAGCCACACGAAACCCTAAGCCCCAAGCCCGAAGTCCCTAGCCACACATTCCTGCAGTCCCCGCACTACGTAGCCCCTCTCAAGATGGTCCTCCAAATCTTCCAGGCAATGACACATGTGAAGAAGCATTTGGGCTCCTCCAATGAGCATTGGGGGTCCCGTTAATAAGTGCCAGGGTCCCTTTAATAAGTATTTTAAGGGCTCCTTTAATAAGTATTTTAAAGGCTCCTTTAATAAGTATTATAAGGGCTCCTTTGCTAAGTATTATAAGGGCTCCTTTACTAAGTATTATAAGGGCCCCTTGAATACGTATTAGGGTTCCTTAAATGAGCATGGGGTTGAGGGCTCCTTTCAGTCATGCCGAAGGAGCTCGGCCTTGTTGTGGTCGGCGACACATCCGGCAGCTTGCCTTGGAATCCGGATTGCCCTGGCGTTCAGACATTTCTATAAGCCTTAAGCGGCTTAGACCTAAACCAAAGGCAGATACTTATAGACAACTATATGGGTAGTTCTCAAAATTAGGGTCCCTTTTTGGGTCCCCAACATAGTACGGCACCCTTATAAAAAGGACCCTAAAAAGGGACCCTATTTTAGAGAACTACCCATATTTTTATGCCTTAGACCCAGGCACCGCCACTTTGGTCGACCTTGCCAGCGGCGCGGTGCGGCGCAAGCTAAGCTCCGAAGATCCCATCCTGTCAGCGCCTGGGCTTTGAGGGATCGGGTCTCGGGCTCTTCGGCTGTAGACCCTAAACCCTAAACCTAAACCACTAAACCCCTAAATCAGGTTTTGGGGTTGAGGGTTTAAGAAATGGGGTTCCAGAACCGAAGTGATTGAAGAGCGCGAAGAGATGCCATTTGCGGCCCGCCGATGTTTTGAACAGCCTTATTTCCGGCGCCGAACGCCCCACAGCTCAGGGTTTAGGGTTCCGAAACTACGAGAAGAGTCGAGGTTTCAAGTGTCCGGGGAGATTTGAACCCGACATCTCGAAACCCTACCTGTGGCCCAAAAGCACCTACCTGGACCTACCTCTTTGGAGGAATTATATTATGTAGAAACCAGAAGAAGGAGCCCGAAAAAGGTAAACCCTAAACCCTAAACCCTAAACCCTAAACCCCAAACCCTACCTTTTTTTCGGCCACGGGGAGACCTCTGAACCCGATCAGGTGGCCACGGCCGCGCCGCTGCGCGCAGTGCTTGGGGCTGGGGGCCGTGCCGTGCGCGAGAGCTCGACGGCCGGGACCGGGGAGTCAGGCTTTAGGGGTTTTAGGATGGTTTTAGGATGGTTTTTAGGGGTTTTAGGATGGTTTTAGGGGTGTCGAGGATTCTATGAGGGTTTATGGTTGCAGGATTTCAGAATGAAAGGGTTTATGGTGTTAGGCTTGAAGGTGTGGTTGGTGTAAGGGTTCCCCTAAGCTTATTTTTTTCCGGGGGAGGGGGAGGTTTCTAAGACTTGGGGTTTAGGACTGTTGCGGATTAGGGCAGAGATGGTGAGGGTCGGTTGTTCTGCTTGGCACCCTGCTCCCTGCAAGCTTTTGATGAAATGTTGAGGCTTCTATCTTTTCAGCGCTTAGGGGTACCGAGGGCAGGTTCACACTCGGCTCAGGCGTTTTAATCGCGAAACCTTTTATCAGCCCATCTGTGTGAAAGATGCTTCTCCAATAGATGTCCAGCGGCCTGCAAACCACTCTTGCAGCTTGTTCATATTTCTCTCGGAGTCCAGGAAGCATCTAAACATGAGCTTTTGAAGCACGAGTAATGTTCCTATATTTATACAAAGGGCAAAGGCCTCGGTAGTTTATCTTGATGTGGTTTCTTGCACACCTATTGATGATCACGGGCATGCATCATTTTCAGTTCTCCAGAGAGACTTAGGAAGAACGCCGTGAACTCCGCAAGATTGGCAAAGCCTGGGGGTGATATCTTCGCGATAGCGACTGTCTGATTGGCAATAATATTTCCGGAGAGTACTCCCATGCAAGCAAAGTCTAACATGGCCTCACACCTATGTCAACGTAGAAGCGCTAAGCCGTCAATCCCATTTCAGATGTTTTTTTTTTCTGGGTGGGGGGGGGGGGGGGG